TCACAATATAAGATATAAAGTTGACCTGCGGAGCTCAAAGATTAGATTATCTGAAGATACTGATTGCTAAATAATCTTTGGGTGCTCCAAGGTGCTGTTTTGAGAGGCAGGACTCTCTAGGTAGTGCTAACCGCTGGGGAATTCAGATGCAGAAATCACTCTCCATATGCAAATATGTGTCAGAAGGGGTTTTTTAGAATAATGCAACACACCCCTATTTGGAGCTTTTTTATTTGCATTTTACCACATGCTAAAACCTGTAGGAAATTAACACTACAGTCCCACAAAGTTTGTTTTGAGATAACATAATGAGACAAAGATAAGTTTGCCTCTTCTTTCTACAAAACACATAAAAAAATAGTCATTTTTTAAAAAACACACATTTGAAATGGAAGATATTTTTAATTGAAAAAAAAGGTAAAACAAATTTCAGAAGTGTAAGTTAGCTGAACTTCTCTTTCCAGACCGAAGCAATCATCCCCACTAACTAAGAAATTTTATAAGAAACAATACTTATCCATACCTAGGCTTATCTGTACTTGTTACTCCAATACCTGAGTAGGACTCATAACTTAATATCTGGAAAGGGCTGTGCATGATTTTCCAGGTATCCCTCCATCTGTCCTGCTTTCTCAATCTCAGACCTAGGGAAGGACTTAACATTACCTCTGGGAGAGAATTTAAGAACAGTTCACTCTCAACACCGATGTTTCAGTCTGGAACTCAGAGTCCGTACCCAGGTGATAATCAGTACTATTTTCCCACACTGTCTTCCCTTGTTAACCTCTTTATAGCATCTGGATAGAGGTTGCCTATATTAAATTGGAAAATTCTTATAAGCAGAGACCACGATGTTGTACAATGCTTTGTCTAAGATTCTGCCCAGGAATATTTTGGATGTTTCACTAACATCTGTCTGTTCATTAATTCATTCAATCAACAGATATTTACCGAATGCCTACTCTGTACCAGGTACAATTTTAGACGCTAGACGAGTATGCAGAAAACAAAGCAACAAACATACCCTGCCCTCATGAAGCTTTTTTTTTTTTTACCAGATAGTACAGTCTATGTTCATAACATCTCCATTTTTATTCATTCATTCATTCGTTTCTAAATATTTATGGAGCTTCAGCTATGAGCAGCATGCTATGCTAGGCTCTGGGGACACAGGATTCCCTGCTCTCAGGAAACTTCCAGTTGAGCTGGGGAGGCATGCCTATAAAGAAACACCAAGTGGTAAGGGGAGCATTTATTGTGTGCACGGCTACCCAGATGAGAGGCTGGGTCTGGCTGAGGGAGACATTTTTCATGATGCTTATTGCTAAATGGATAATAAAGACATAAAGTATGTGAAGAAGGATAAGTGACATGGAGAAAAATAAAGCAGGAAAGAAGCATAAGAGTGGTTAGGGTAGGTAATAATTCATCAAAAACATGAAGGAAGTGAGGAAGTAAGCCTCAATGTTGCCTGCAGGAAAAATATTCCTTGCATGTCCAAGGAGACCAATTGAGCAGAAAAGAAGTGAGTAAGGCGATGTAGGACTTTGGTGTTAACTGTGAGATGAGCAGCTAGTGAAAGGTTCTGAATAGGATAATGATATAATATACTTTACACATATATTTTACTCACTGGCTTCTGTGTTGAAAAGAGACTGGGCCAGGGCAGCAGCATGGAGCCTGCTGAGGAGGCTGCTGAAATTATCTAGGTGGGATCTGATGGTGGTTTGAACCAGGATGGCTGTGGTGGTAGCGGTAAGAAGTTGTCAGATTATTAGATTGATCCTGAAGGCACAGTCAACAGCCTTTGCTGAGAGACAGGAAGTGGTTTGTGAGAGAAAGCAAGAAGTCACAGAAGACTAATATTTTTGGCTTGAACAAATGAAGGACGGAGTTGCCATTACTGGGCTGGAGAAAAACTTTAGGAAAGGGAACTGGACTGTTCAGTTGGAGTTGTCTATCAAACAGGCAAGTAGATGGATGGGGCTGATGATCAAGAGAGAGGCCCAGGCTAGAAATTTGGGAGTTATTAGCAAAAAAAAAAAAAAAGGAATTGACAAGATAGTGGGTATAGTTATGTAGATACACAGAAGAGAAGAGGTCCATGCACTAACCCAGGGGCATTCTAGGAGATCAGAGGTCAAGAGGAACTGTAAAGAGAGAGAAGAATATAGAGTGTAATGTCCTAGAAGCAAAGAACATGCTTCAAGGAGGAAGGAGTGACCAAATGTGCCACATAAGATGAAGAACTGACCGATGATTCTGCCACGGCGACCTTGGAGGAGGGGAATTTCAGTGGAGCAGTGGGGAGGAAGCCTGACTGGAGCAGACTCAGGCAGAATGGAGGAACTGGAGCATAAATAGCTCTTTTTAGGAATCTATAATCATAAAAGAGTAATATGCTAGAATCAGGCAGGGAGGCAGGCAGGCGAGTGGTTAAGAGCCAACTGTCCCAGATTGCAAGAAGTTGCCGGCCGGGCTGAGGTACCCCTCCACCCCATGCATGAATTTCGTGCACTGGGCCTCTAGTATTATCATAAAGGGGAACAGAACAAAGGGCCATAACTTAGAGTAGAAGTGAGGTCTAAACAGAACAAGTAAAATGGGAGAAATAACATGGTGGTCAAAAGAACGCAGGCTCCACTCCACTCAGGGAGGGAAGCATAACTCTCTGTTCCTAAGTGTGGGCTGCACACAGTGACTTCCTTCCAGAGGGTATAATGTGGTCATGGGGGTGAGGGAGGGCAATTTAAAGTGAAGAACCTGACAGACACTACCTCAGCCATGGTTAACATCAACAGTGACAGGTCATGTAAATATCATGTACCTCTGATGTAATGTAGTGAAAGCGGTACTTTACCTCTGTGACCTACCTCTCCCAAATCCATAATCTCAATCTAATCATGAGGAAAACATCAGACAAATTTCAGTCAAGGGTCATTCTACAAAGCAGTAGACCAATACTCCTCAAAACTGTCAATGTCACCAAAAACTAGAAAAGTCTGAGAAACTATCACAGCAAGAAGAGCAGAAGGACACATGACAACTAAATGTGACGTGGTGTCCTGGATGGAACCCTGGAAGGCAGGAAGGATGTCTGGTAAAAATGAAGGAAATCTGAATAGTGTATGGACTTTAATAACAGTGTGTCAACAATGTAACAAATGTGTCATGCCAATGTAAGATGTTAATAATAAGAAAAACTGGATGCAGAGTATATGGGAAGGAAGGATATAGAATATATTGAAACTCTTTGTACTATCTTCTAAATTTTTCTGTAAATTTAAAACTGTTCTAAACAATTCTATTTAAACATTTATTTATTTTTTAAAAATATATTTTTATTGATTTCAGAGAGGAAGGGAGAGGGAGAGAGAGTTAGAATCATCACTGATGATGAGAGAGAATCATTATCAGCTGCCTCCTGCATGCCCCACACTGGGAATTGAGGCCACAACCCAGGCATGTGCCCTTGATCAGAATTGAATCCGGGACCCTTCAGTCTGCTGGCCGATGATCTATCCACTGAGCCAAACCAGCCAGGGCAATTTAAACATTTCTTTATAAAGAGCATAAGTGGCCCTAGCCGGCTTAAAAACATATTTAATAAAACAATTAAATGAATAAATAAGAGCATAGCTAGGCTCTGGACTCTGACCTTCTGGTTAGAATCCTGTGATTTACTGGACTATGGTTTGAGGTAAATTACTTAAATTCTCTGACAGTTTCTCTGTCTGTAAAATGGAAATAGAAAGAATAACAACCTCATAGATAAATAAACGAGTGTGAAATGCTTAACACACAGTATATGGCAAATAGTCAACACTCACTAGATGGCAGCTATTATTATTATTATGACTATCTAAAATCTTTATTGAATACTCAAATACACATTTAATGTGATTTTACATTTAATTTGTTTTAAAGTGATTAATTTTTTTCTATTATAATTTTATTTCCTATTTGAGCAGAAGAAAATTGAATATAACTATTATATAGTATTTGTAAAAAGGGTTTCCTTCTCATTGTATTATTGAAGTGCTCCAAAATATTTAATTCAAATACCAGTCTATTGTAATGGACTGAAATGAGTTGTGACCAGAGGCTCTGTATACATGACACCGTGTCTATAAAGTAGTATAAGATAAATACCATTTTCTAATGAGAGCTCTACTTTCATTGTAAAACCAATAGAAACATCAACCAGAGAATATGTTACCTTGTGATGATACTCTTTTAAATAACAATACTTGATACAATTGATTTGAAGATTCTTACATAGAATTTGTTTAAAGATAAAAAGAACTAAGTGGAGTGGTAAAAGAGTGTGGTGAAATAACTGTTACATTAGGATGCTATCAAAGAAGAGAATTTGACCTAAGTAATGGCTCCCAACCGGGCTGTGCATCACTTATAGGGCTTGGCAAAAAAAAACAGAAAGACGCTGGACCCTCCATGCAGACGTACTGTATCAACAGCTCCAGGGGTGGAGCCTGGACATTGGTATCTTTAAAAGATGGTATGGATTCCAGTTTGTGAACGACTGGTCTATCTTGTTGTGTATACCCTGATCATATCACATAGGCTACCACATGACTCGCCTTGGTCGGAGCTGCCTTTGTAAATACAGCCTGATAGTCACCATCATCAAGAATCATCATCAGCTCAAGACAGTCTTATCTGTGACTTTTTAAATTTTTTTATCTTTATTGTTTAAAGTATTACATTACCTGTTACTATTACAGTTGTTGTTTATATGGAATTTTGGGCCCTCTGTTTCCTCAGGCTCTCCACTGTCTTGAGCATAAATAAAAGGGACTGTCTTCTTAATTCAGTCCCCCAACACTCTCCTCTCCCACTTCTAAGTCAAGTCTTCCCTCCCTGCACCTCTCCCCCTCTTTCTCGTTCAATGGCCAATAGAGAAACTCAGCATATTTAACACAGGCAGTTGCCCTCAACTACCCTGAACGGAGCCGGTCTTCCCTTCTTGCTGAGCCAACAATTCGTGAAGCAGATGGTGTGCTCCAAGTCTCCTGTCAGAGCTCTGTGGTCCAGGCTGTCAATAGACACCACCCCCTGCACAATGAACTGTAGCTGGAGAATCAAGAAGTAGGCGTTCCCCTATGACAGAATGAGTACACAAAGGAACAGTGGCCAGACTATATGTGAAAATGCAACTCTGACCCACATCATGTGTTAACCAGCCTAGAGAGCCAATCTACCACCTACAGGAACCAGTCCGGGAAGTCAAATCAGTATCTGTAGCCTCTAGTCCAGGAAGCCAAACAATAACCCTGTAGAAATCAGGCCCAAATGGTTAGGACTTGATTAATAACTAACAGCTTCCCTAAGTTTTGCCCCTGCTTTCTTGGGTAAATGGGAGAAAGTCAGATATGTACCCTAAACAATCACACAGAATGCCCCACTTCTAGTTAATCCCTCTACCGCGTCCTCATGCCAACAGCCTCCAATTAGGGCATATCTGAAGCCTCCCCTGTCTTCCACTATAAAGCTTTTCTACTCCTCTGCCTGCCTTGGCATCTCTGAGAAATGCAAGTGATGCTGGCTGACTTCCTTGCTGTGAATAAGGAGCCTGTGTTTGTTCTAGTGTGGATGGTCTTCATTTCTTTCCACAGGAGAACGGAGCTGTGGCTGTGGCTTAAAATGGCTCATGGGATTGTTCTTTCATGGCAGACATGGCCGTACTTAGGGAGGCTGGAGAGTGTAGCAGAAAGAGCACGGCGGTACCTGTGACTCTGAGGAAGTCATGGTTGGGAAGTCAAGTGGGAAGTATAGAGGGGCTGTGAGAGGGCACAGGCTCTGGATTCAGACTGCCAAGGTTCAAGTCCTGGCTCTGCCACTTCCCAGCTGTGTCAATTTGTCAAGTTAACTAATTTGTACCACCGTTTCCTCGTCTGTTAAAACGGTGGTGATGATATTATCACCGGCTTCATTGGGCAATTGGAAGAATTATAGGGGTAACCGATGTAAAATGTGAATATATGAATTTCGATGGTGAGAGAGAAGAGGGGAGAGAGGGGAAAGAAAGAGAGACCCAGCAACACTGGGCTGAACTTACTGGAAAGCCACAGTGGCCCTGGGCTGATTACTAACTGCCCTTTTTAAATGAGACATATGTGCTCCCCTTTCCAAGTTTCCACCAACCAGCCTCACTCATTTATAATACCTACCTGGCCTCATTTGCTACCTGTGGACTGGGCTAAATACATTTTTCTTTCACAAAATTAGTAACCCTAGGAAACCAGTGGGTGCAAAAACTGCCAATGCCATCATCCATTTCAAAAAGATCTGTTTGGGCCCAACCGGTATGGCTCAGTGGTTGAGTCTAACCATAAACCAGGAGGCCATGGTTAGATTCCCGGTCTGAGCACATGCCTGGGTTTCAGGCTTGATCCCAGTGTAGGGCATGCTGAAGGCAGCTGACCAATGGTTCTCTCTCATCATTGATGTTTCTATCTCTCTCTCCCTCTCCCTTCCTCTCTGAGATCAATAAGATATATATGTTTTGGGAGGGATCTTATTCCTCAAAGGTGTCTTAGAAATTTCTGTGTTTTCCAGAAATCAAAGACTCGGGTATACTTTTCTGAGGCATTTATTTAAGGGTTATAATTTAGAATTACAGAGCTTATGATATGCAAATAATTTTTATGTAACTAGAAGCCCAATGCCACATTCCAGAAAGTATGACCATATTCATGAACAATTACAATTTTTCCCCTCCTAGGCCTTCTGCTATTTTCATAAGAAAAACAGCACTTTTTGAGAATTAAGGCTAAGTTGTTTTGACATAATTGTTTTTATTTTCAACTAAAATTCAATGTGGCACCACAGAGTATCAAATCTAACCCCAAACGCCTGTGGTTAACAAAACAAAGATTTTTGCCTGAATCATTTCTGGCCTTCACACTCAACACTTCCCACCGGCAGTGTCTCAGCCTTCCCATGACTGCATAAAATGGGGTTTTGAAGCCAACTTTCCAGACTAAAATAAAAAGCCATTCTCTGCAGTGGTTCTCAACCTTCTGGCCCTTTAAATACAGTTCCTCATGTTGTGACCCAACCATAAAATTATTTTCGTTGCTACTTCATAACTGTAATGTTGTTACTGTTATGAATCGTAATGTAAATATCTGATATGCAGGATGGTCTTAGGCGACCCCTGTGAAAGGGTCATTCGACTGCCAAAGGGGTCGCGACCCACAGGTTGAGAACCGCTGCTCTAGAGCCTAAACTGTCATTCCATCGAATTGGGTAAATGAGATCATTAAGAAGACGGAGAGCCACGTTTATTACAAACCGCATTTCACTTTCGCATTTCACCTGCCATTTAAGTAAGGTGGTCACTTGAGAGTGCACTGAACACACCAGTCTCGGCTAATTTGACAATGACCAGAAAGCATCGCACAGACATGCTGGTTGACAGCACTCCGAGCGAAGGAAGACAGGAACGCTGGATACATATTAGATGGTTGCACGCGGCTTGCTGTTTTTGCCCAGCCTCTGCTCACTTACTCTTGCAGCCTTACTCCAGGCTTCTTTGAAAGAGAAGGGGCAGCTTTGGGGAGGGTCTCGGGGAGGTGGTGTCCTTCCAGGGCCAGGAAAGGGCAGCTTCCCCGTGGGAACCACCCAGAGGCGGCTGCATCCCGGGGCCCTTCCCCGCCGTCCAGGACCGCCCGCGCAGAGACGCCCAG